TATTATTATTATTATTATTATTATTATTATTATTATTATTATTATTATTATTATTATTATTATTATTATTATTGATAATATTATTACTATTTCCTCCTCTTTTTATTATTGGATTTACATTCAATTGCTGTTTTTGTTGTTGCGATTGTAATTGTTGTAATCGAGTATTATATTCTTGGTATTTTGCCAAGGCCAACTTTTGTTTGTTTGGATCTAATTCAACTGTTGACACGTGATGCCAAGAAAAAGTTAATTTTCATTATGGGTTGTACATTACGTACGTACATATCGTATTCTTCTTTCACTTTTTTTTTTTTTTTTCTTTTTAAAATAAAATAAAATACCCCCATAAAAAACCGCATAAATAATGATGAATATCTTTCCTGACTTACGTTTGAAAATGGATCCATAAATCTATATAAATAAGTGCAAAAAATTAATAATCATTGTTATAATTATTATTAAGATTATTAAAGATTAATATATATATATATATTTTTATTAATATTTTTATAAATATAAATATAAATGTAATATATAAATAAATATAAATATAAATATAATATATAAACACATATTTAATGAATTTTTACTCTTACTTTTACTAAATCCAAATATAAATTTTTGGATGATAATTTATTTCCTCTTTGTTCTTTAATTGCCATGTCAACAAGACGACTTGCTTGTTGATATAATAATGCAAGTTTAGCATTATAATTATTATTATTATTATTATTATTATTGCTAGAATTATTATTATTATTGTTGTTGGTAAGGCTATGAATATTGTTATTATTGTCGCGATTATGAATATTATTATTACTAATATTATTCCTGTTTTTGAAATAATTATTATTCATTCTTTTTTATATTTATATTTTTTGAATAATTTTTTTTAAAAAACGAGATTCTTTTTTTTTTATCTTTTGTGGATTTTTTTATTTATTTTGATTTTGTAATAGTCTGTTTTGTTAGTAATTATTATTATTATTTATCGAAAAGAGAAATCATCATAACAAAGATTACAATAAATAAAAAAAATGTGGCGGTAAAATTGTTGAATATTGTTAAATAATAAATGTAACAGAAGAGATGGCGAGATGTGTGCATATTTCGAATCAATTGCGTAAATTGGAATTTCTAGAAATTATTTAAATTAAATGATGTAAAATAAATAATAAATATCTATAAATGTCAATGTTTGCATCACACAATGAAAATTTTCAGAATATTTCTTTTGTATATTTCCATTGATGTACATTACATTTTTACATTTCCCTCCATTTTGTAAAGAGAAATGAAATATTTATATTTATTTATTTATTGATTTAATTATTTATTTATTACAAAAAGCGTGACATCTTATATACATTACATATACAATTGATTTAATTTGTTTAATTATGAAGAATTTCTTCAATATTTTCAAGTTTATACGCTAAAAATATATTTTTTATAAAATATATTAATATGAATAATTAATGAATATTCGAATAAAATTATGAATAATAAAATTATAATGATTCATTTACCAGTTTCCTAATAAAATGGAATTTAAATAGATATCATAGATTTATCAAAAAAAAAATTGTTAATTTATTAATAAAAAAAAAAAAAAAAGTAATTTCTAACAAACAAATTACCTTGTGAGTATGCAAATTTTCAATTACGATTCTAGGTTCTTCTTCGGAAGCTTTTACACGTTTTTGCGTATCTCCGACAATCTTTTATAAAACAATAACGAGTTAAAAAGGTATAAAATATACGACAGTAAGAGGGATTTTATCATCAGGCAATGGTTGTATAATATATACCTCGGGATGAGTAACGATTTCTTTAACAATTCCTTCGGTAAGTTGCATTCCTCCTCCAACAGGATGATAACGAACTTTTTGTCCAACATGAACATCGTCTTTTTTAATAGGTGCCATTATTAATTATTATGCAAAAAAAAAAAATTTTTTTTTTTGAGAACAAAAATATAATAATATGAGTTTGGTGAGAGATAAATTTTTTGAACGATTTGTGGGGATTTGTTGCGAAAAATTTTTAACGATTTATTTATTTGAAAAAAAATATCAACTTATATAACACCATGATGAAATAATAGCATAAGATAATATTAATGATGAGATAATAATAACATAAGAGATAATCATTATGAAATAATAATTAAATAATTAAATAAATTCCAGTAATAACAGTAATAATGAAATAATTTTTCTTATAATTATTGTTACATCGATTGAAAAAATCAAAATCAATTAAAATCACGTGAAAATATTTTGAAATGATCAAAAGAATCATCATATCGAATTTAATATCTTAAATTTTAAAAATTAGACATATCCAAATCAATCATTCCAGAATCAGCTAAACAAATAAATTAATATGAATTTAAATATGAAAAAATAGATATAATATAATAATAAATAAAATATAATTTATACTTACTAGTACTTAAATCAGAAACAGATTTAGTTAATTCTTCGAGTTCTTTTTCAAAATTTTCATCATTATTAGGTTTCGGAAGACTTGAAAAATCGAGAAGTCGACTGGTATAAATTGCTTGTGGATGTGTTTTATAATCGAGTGGAGTTGTGGTTGTGGTCGTATTGGTTGATGGAGAAAATTCTTCTGCTTTTTTAATTTGAATTACAATTTCGGAATTCTTATAATAATAATCTCTATAGTATTGATTAAACTTGACACTCAATTCTACAAAAGTTGGTCGATGAGTAACCCGAGCATCCCAACATCTCATAATCATTCTTGTAATTAATTTTGGAATATGAATTGGAATTTTTGGTCGTAATCCATTACATATTTTCATTGCTAAATCTTTATTATGTGGTATATCATGATATGGAGGAATCCCTGTAATTATTTCGTAAGTTATAATTCCAAATGAATATACATCAGCTGCCTTTGTATACTCTTCACCAGATAATACTTCTGGAGATACATAGGGTAATACTCCAAAAATATTTTTCTTTTCAGGATTAATTGAATTTGCTCCTATTAATTTACTTAATCCAAAATCTGTGATGTATAAATGGAAAGAATCCTTAAAATTATCTAATAAAATATTTCCAGGATGAAAATCCTGGTGTACTATATTTAATTCATGAATTCTTTTAAAATGATTAGCTAATTTTTTTAAATAATGTAAATTATTTTTAAATGATCTCGAAGATTTCCATCTTTAGCATAACCTAAAACCATTATATATTTCTGTGTTTTTGGATCTCGTGTAATTCCAAAAAATCGAATTGAAGCATCACATTTTAAGTGAATTGACATCTAAATAATATATACGCATCTTTTTAATTGATTATAAAATCTGGAATACAAAATTGCAGATTAATTAAAAATATTTTACCTCATTTAAGAAATCATCATTTAAACTTGCAAAATTATCAAACTTTTTTAATACCACTTCACGTTGACCATCTCTTCTCCATTGTTGATTTCCGGTATCCCATTCTTGGATTGATCCATTAATCCACCTAGCTAAATGTATTGTTCCAAAACCACCTTTTGCTATTTGTTTAATATATTCTAATCTATCATAAGGTATCCATTCTATTAGTTCAGATCTATTATAAGCATTTAGTTGAGCATATTGAATGAATTTATCTATTGTATCATTTCCACTCGTCCATTTATCAAAATCATTTTTGAAATGTTTGGACTTGCATGGTTGACACCATTCCCAGCCAGTATATAGTTGATTGCATTCTAGGCATACCATTTTTTATTTTTTTTTATTCACTTAAAATGTGTAAAGAAAGAGTTTATTTTTATAAAATTGAATTTGTAATTACGTTTGGATGGTCTTTTATTATAGGTTACGTTTTATGTTAGTAATTATTTAGTGTAATGAACTAATATTCGTGTTTCATATTATCTTCATTTCAAAGATATGACAAATGCTGTCTTACATAAAAAATATGTAAAGCAAGTAGTTTAAATAATTCAATTCATGAAGTTAATTATCCATGGAAAACAAAACTTTCAATTATTTCATTTGCATTTAAAAAATCTATATTATTATCAATTTTCATAGATAATTTAAATAATTGTAGTTAGCAACGCAGCAGCTTTAAATCTCGTGTTTATTTTGAGAAAATCTTTAATTTTTAATCAATTCATATATTTTAGTCTTAATATTTAAAAAAAGATTTGATAGAAAAATTATTTGTTGTAATAAAAGAATAAAGATTATTAGATTGAAATTAATTATATATTAAAATATTAAATATCGTCAAATAAAAAAAAAAAACTTGCACAAAATAATAAAATTTATTTGTAAGAAAAATCCTTAATAACATGATATATCAAATAATGTTAATTTATAATAATCAGTGTTAAGCTATTATAAAAATTTATAACTTAAAATTTAGACATATCCAAATCAATAATTTCAGAATCAGCTATATAAAATAGAAATAATTAATATAATTAAAATAAATAATACATATACTGTATATATGGTTTATACTTACTTGTACTTAAATCAGAAACAGATTTAGTTAATTATTCAATTTCTTTTTTCAAAATTTTCATCAGTTGGAAGACTTGAAAAAAAATCGAGAAGTCGACTGGTATAAAGTGCTTGTTTTATAATCGAGTGGAGTTGTGGTGGTGGTCGGAAAAAATTTTTCTGCTTTTTATACATCTGCTGCCTTTGTATATTCTTCACCTGATAATACCTCTGGAGCTACATAGGGTAATACTCCAAAAATATTTTTCTTTTCAGGACTAATCAAATTTGGCCCTATTAATTTATTTAATCTAAAATCCGTAACGAACAAATTGAATGAAGGACTCATAAAATTATAAAATATTTCCAGGATGAAAATCCCTGGTGTATTATGAATAATTAAGAATCTATCAGCTAATTCGGTTAAAAAATCTAATTTCCTTTTCCAATCAATATTATTACAGTAAAATTATTCTTAAATGATACTAAAATTTCATCTATGATTATATTGTGAAGGATCATCATTTATACATCATAACTTTCCCATTGTTGATTTGATCCACCTAACTAAAAATGGATTGTTCCAAAACCACCTTTTCCTATTTGTTGAATATATTCTAATCTATCATTTGAGCATCTTGAATTAATTTGTCTATTGTGTCATTTCCACTTATCCATTTATTAAAAATCATTTTTGAAATGTTTGGATAATAAATAAACTTCATATGTATGACTAGAAATAATAAAATATTTCCAATTTAAACAATTAATGAATGAATGAATTGATTTTTAATTTAAAATTTGTAAGGCAGCATTTGTCCTGCGAACCACAACGTACTTGAAATGAAACAACATAGAAACACATATACAAATACTACATCTACATGACACAAATATAAAGTTACGCTAAAAAGCATCGTAAAACATGATATAATTAGAGAGTAATCAATTTATAAAAAAAAGATATTCTTTACACTTTTAAGTAAACAAAAAAATGGGAATATGTCCCAAATGCAATCAAAAATACACTGGCTGGAGATGGTTTCAACCATGCAACACCATGAAAAAATAAACTTTCAATTATTTCATTTTGCATTTAAAAAATCTGTACATTTTCTGTAAATTATGAATTAAAAGACATTAACCACAATTATTTTGATTATTATATTATTACAATTGAGGTAAAGCAGGTAGGATCTTGTGATTTTTTTTGATAAATCTTTAATTTTAATATCTTCTATATAGAATTCCAGAAATTCTTATATTATTAGTTAATAAATTTGTAAAAAGATTCTAATAGAAGAAGAATAATTAAATTAAAAAATACAATTTATTATGTGTAACAAGTTCCATAATTCATTTACCATTTATGTCATAAATCAATTTACTACTTTTGTTAATAAAATTATAAAATTGCAACATAAACATAAACATAACAAATAGTATCAACTTTAATTCATATTTTAAAAACATTCATTTATGTATCACTATTTATACCAATCCATTCTATTATTATAATTTGTCATCCTTGTATTTTTTTTTTATCTCTCATTGAAGATTAAGATTATTATTATTAAAATAACTTAAATGAATTTTTATATGCAAAGAAGAAAAAGATAACGTTTATATAAATGTAATGTAACAAACGTTGATTCCGAAAAAAGTTGGGCTAATTTTTTTCACAATGATATAATATAATGATTTTTTGATATAGTATTGTCTTTTAGATATATATAAAATTTCATTTTTTTTTGGAAAATTTTCGTTAAACTGGTCGAGTTTATAATGTCAGTCGACCTAAAATCAATTTTTTCTAAATAAAATATCAAGTTTGTTATTTTAAACAAGTGGTATATATTCGTTTCATTCAATCAGGAATTCAAAGGTTGTAACTTCAGTTTGTGCAACTGTGATTCCCAATTTCTTTATTAATAACGATTTTTTGTTTCTAAAGTTTTTATACGTGAAACTAGATCTTATAGAAGAATAATATTTATAATATTTTAAGAATAACAGAATCAAACTTTTATATTTGTGAGGGTGATTTACGCTTTGTACACTACCCCACAGGGCACAAAAACATCAATAATAAACGAATATATGAATTTATATTAACTATAAACTATAAACTAAAAACTAAAAACTATATAATTTTAATATAAACAATATAATTTATATTTATATCGTCGATCTAGACTAAAATAGTATAAACTATGAAAATAGTCAAAAAATTTTTAAATAAAAGCCCCAACTTTCGTATTTTCTTTTTTCTTTTTTTTTTTGAGGAAATTTATCATTTCTTCATACGTGTATATAAGTATATAAATATATTTAATATTAATATATAAATATACAGTATAATATAAATAATAAATAAATAAATAAATAAAAAATAATAAATATAATATTAATAATAATATAAATAATATAAATAATATAAATATAAGAATTTTATAATGACTAAAGAAACGCTTTTACCAATTTACAGTCCATTATCTTATAATCCTCATCATTCCTATAACAATAATTATCATAAACATAATCATCAAAGGCGAAATTCTTTAGTAGAAATTGGTGATCATTATTTAAGAACGCAAAAATATAGAGTATTAGGCGTGACACTTGGAATATTTTTATGTTCATTATGGGCAGTGGCACATTTTAGTGGTATTGATCATCATCAATTTATTTTTATTAAAGGAGAAGGAGTAATAAGTGATGGAGCAGCTTTAGCAGCAGCGATTGTTTTGGGTGAAAATGGTGAAGAAGGAATTCATGGATTGGAAGTTGAAAATCATGAATATTATCACGATTATCATTATTTTCATGATCATTACATAATTGATGGTGATGAGAATGACAATAGCAATATCGATCATGATAATGAAGAAGGAACAAAAGAAATAAATGAATTAGAGATAAAAATAACAGTGATAAATACAGAAATAGATCAAGAAAATGGGAATGAAAATAAAGATTTAAGAGATTCAAGTTATAATGCAAATGACGACCTTGAGAATGAACCATCTCAAATTGATATAGAATATGAAATTGATGAATTGATTAATGAAAATCCAGTTGTTGTCTTTATTAAAATTTATTGTCCGTAAGTATCGTATAGTTTAATAATATTTAATATATATTATAATAAATATATATATATATATATTAATAAATATTTATAATATTTTAAATTAGATATTCGCAACGAGTAAAGTATATATTATCACAATACAATATTTTCCCTCGTCCAATAATAATTGAAGTAGATACAAGAGGTAAATTAATTTATCTAATATCCTTTTTAAATAATTAATTTATAAATTTATAATAATTTCTCTATTTATTTATCTATCTATCTATTTATTTATATATAAAGGTGACGAAGTAATAGTAAAAAAAGTATTAAAGAAATATACACAACGAGAAACATTTCCGAATGTGTTTATAGATGGTAAAACAATTGGGGGAAGTGATGAATTAGCTTTATTTCATACTAATGGTCATTTAAAAGAAATACTTATTGAATCCGGTGCTTTATTTGATGAAAAGGTTTTTGATTATTATGATATGAAACATTCTTCTTTATGATTTGATTTATAATTTGATTTGATTTTATTATTACATTCAAACCTAGCTATAATCCCACTTTTTATAGTCATAACCTTGTTATGATCACCAAATTTGATGGTCCCTAGGGTGTGATTATAGCCAAGTCTGACTGTATTTGATTTATTATTTGATTTATGTGTATTTTTCTGCGATTTTTTTTTTTTTTTTTTGGTATTATTTTGTAAATTCCCCATGTATATTTTTTTTCATACATAAAAAAAGAAATTTGAAATAAATATATAAATATCAAAAAAAAAAAAAAAACGTTACATAGAAATCTCGTATGTCTCTAGAAATGTATTCTATTTTTTTTTTTTTTAGCATAAACAATTTTATAAGTATTTTATCATTCATTAAAAAAAATGTACAAGTATAACGATACAACTCATATAGTGTCATTATTTTTTGTTCTCAATTTGGTTCTTTCATTTTTAATTTTTCCAAATAATCTTAATCTTGTTTTACAAATATATCATTTCGTACATTTATTGATTAGTAATCAACAGTCACCAGTTATATTTGTGCTTTTATACAACCAAAATTTGAATACCACGCCAAGGAGTAGAAAACATTGGAAAAAATATTATTTTCTTAATTAATCAAGAGAATACGGTCGTATCTTTATCATCTTTATATATAACACTGTTTTATCTAGATAATGCAACATAAAATATATATTATAATTATATAACAGATAACAGACAATAATAAATATTCCATTTTTATACGCGTATATATTGTGTATATTGCATCACGCGTTTTGGTTAATTTTATAAATTAAATTAAATTTAATTTGGTTAGTTATACAACATGCATAGTAAACGTTGTGTTGTTTCAGATTAACCCTTGATAATAATTAATATAACTTGTTTTGTTTATTTATTATTCATGTGATAAAGTAGAATAATCAAAACAAACAAAATAAACAAGATCACATTCTAGTTTGTGACAGAAAATTATATGAAACTTGCATAATTTATATAACTTATACATAATTGTTTGCATGTAAAACGCATACAATACTAGAATTTCTAGAATTTGTGTCATAATAAGATTTAATAAGATTAGTATGAAAGTTAAAAATATTTGTTAACTTAAAATTTATTATAAATTAAATTTGGAAAAGTCTATATATAGACTAGTCTAAGTTATAGTGAAAAATAAAGAAAACATACATCGGTTTTTAATGAATTCCTTTACTTTATTCCCTTGAAGTGACAATCTAAAGTTGAGATATCTCATTTTTACTTGATTATTGATTCTTTTTCCCAATCAATAATCCTTATGTGATTTCTTTAGAATCAATATTCTAAAAATAATACCTGGAAAATTTCCTGTTTTTATGTCCTTTGACACATAATGTAAAGAGTATGAATCATCGAATTCTTATACACATACATATATATATCAATTATCAAGTGCTTGATCGGAAAATGGTCATTTTCCTATAACAATTTCATACCAAAAGCTAAATTTTCGTTGTGTAAGGAAAAAAAAGACCAATCTTTTATTTATTGGTTCTAATAAATTTAGAAATTCCCAAACCTGCATATACTGTATATATTTATAGCGGTGAAACTTGATAACGATTAATCGACGATGAAGGATCTTCACTTCTTCATCGGAAGATAATGAATCTCCGCATATAAAATATAAAATATAATAGGAATACTGACCTTATTACGGACACGTACTTGATATTGAATCAACTTATCCCGATAAATTTATATTACCAGGTTCATGAATCAAAAATTTTAATTCTTTAGCATTAATCGTAAAGGGAAATTAGAAAATTGGAATTTAAAAATTTTTGATTAGAATCATTGGTGAGAATGATGAGAATAATAAAATTTTCTTAATAATAACAAATTTGATAAAAGAAGAGAAAGATTATCAATTGATAGAAGATGTTATCATTAGATAAATCAGATATTACTCAAATGTTTGTTGAGTACTAAGTACTAATAATATAATAAATCCAATGTTGAGTCAAGAAGAAATTAAAGATTTCGAATATTTAATGAATCAATTAGAAAAAATGTGTTAGTGGTCCGATCGGTGGATCGGACCACTAAAATATGTGAATGTTAACATAAATTTATTAATTGGCGAACGATTTTAAATACATGAAATTAGCTTCAACATTTAAAAAATCGAATCCTCACGATCGTGAAAAAGGAAAACGTGAAGAAAGAGATGAAGGCGGTGGGAAGAATTGTATTCAACACGTGTCAAATGTATCTCAAAAATTCAGTTTCAAGATTGAGGAGCTTACGTGGTGGGAGAAAGATTGATGGCCCAAAAAATACGGATATCCTGGTCCCATACATGATAATATTGAAGATACCCATAAATCTTATTAGAATTTTTATTAAATGAATTATATAAAAAAAAGGAAAGAAAATTCGAATAAAAATAAATATATATATTTATATTGTCATTTTTTATTGCTTCACAAAATCAAGAATCAGTATTTTGACATTTAATAAAATAAAGAAATTTGGGATTAATGCAAATTCGGGAGTTGTGAATTTCGGTAAATTATTCTATATTACAAATTAATATTTATTATTATTAGGAATGTGTGATCATATACACTTGCAAGTTACGGATATCCTGTATATTATTAATGTATAACATTTGTGTGGCAAGTGGTTATGGAATAGGGATAATATGATTTTATTTTATTTTTAATTCTTATTTTAATTATTTTAATTATTTTAATTATTTTAATTAATTTGATTTAATCGATGTTCGGCTAATGGATGAAAGGAAATTATTACGGAATGAATGAATAGATTTAAATTTAGGAAAACTTATTGATGAATGCAGGTAATGAATTTAGTTAATTAATAGTTAACTTGATAATTTATTTTCTTTACTATTAATATCTTTCATGATAAACCATATAACAAAGGTTTGGCAATAAATATGTAATGGATTACGATCAATGATATCGTATGTGGAGTATAAAAAATTTCAATACAACCACCACCACATGATTATAAGACACACCCACAAGCAATAGCAATCGACTTCGAGTCTTCCAAAACCAAAATAATGAAAATTTGAATATATATATTATTATATTATATTTATAAAGTATCAATATTATTATTTTTACAAAATATATTTTTTTATTTAAATATCCAATATGATTACCATCCAAAATTTCGAAAGTAGCCGTAAATTACGATCTAAAAATTAATATGTTAGTACAAATAATTTTATTCAAAAAATTATTATATCTATTGTTGTTATCTGCTAAATTGCCACGTATCTAGTTTCCGTGTATCAGTATCCGTGCTATATCTCCATCTATATGAAGAAGTTGTGGGGAATGTGAAAAATTGAAAAAGGATTCTTTTGGTTAAAGCGTACAAGTTTGAATGAACTCATTAACTGTTAAGAACGCAAGTGATGTAATTTTATATTAAAATTTAAAGATTTCGTTCATTTTAATGTTTTCTTGTTCTTTAAAAGAAACTTAATTTAATAAGTTTATTAAAATTATTATCAAAATGAAAGAATACATATTGTAACTTAACATATTTTGTTTATTTAGATGATAATATCGAAATCATTATGTCATGCAAATAATTATATAATATAATAATAATTAATAATAATCCTGAAATTCAAGATATTCATTTTTAACAAGAAGATTTTTGAGGCGAGGAAGAAAGTTTCAAACTTATATAAAATTACTAGCACTCATCTTTATGATATCTCTCCTTTTTTTTTTCAAATTAACTTCTAAAAATGTTAATCTCACCTTCACCCATAAGCTCTTCAATTTCAAATGTTCAAAACTTAAGACATTACTGGAATACTCAAAGCAGAGATCTTGTCTCAGAGATTGTAGTTACCAAACATCTCTACCATTTTGCCTTTGACCTCCCTAAACACTTCTCTTTCCATTTTTACAAAATTCTTGGTTTTCTTCAACAATGAGACCTCCAATGAGTATGAACTTTCACAAAATATTCTTGCCATCTAAACTGCCTTTATCTGTTCTAGATATAGAAACAAGTCTAGGAACCAAAAAGTACAAAAAAAACAAAACAATAGTAACTTGCAACAAACATCAAAAAACAGAAGAAATTCTCAATCATACACTATTGATAAAAGTATATCCAAACAATCCTCAGAAATAACTTTTGAAATGATGGATGAGGTTGGTCAGATTTGATTTGATTTTAATACAGTAATAGGATGGAACAAAAGATGTCAAGTTAGAAGAAATAAAGGTAATACCATAGAAAAAATATGGTTAAAGCCTATGCCCATCCAAATAAACACACCACCTTAAACTTTTCTCATTTCTTAATCTCAAATATTATTCTCTTAAAACATGGATAAGTAAGGTTCAATATGTAAGATTTAGGAAATACACAAGTTTTCAATTTAGTATATTCTGTCATTTCAGCTATTCCTGAAACTACAACTATAACTGCACCTTTAGCTTTATCGATGAATTACAAAAATTTGTCAGAAACGTTTTTCTTAACTGATTTAAAACTGAAAATATAGCTCCAGACTTACTTGAAGAATTACAAAAGGTTTATAATAGTTTGTCTCAATTATCAATTACGTGTTACAATCATATTAACAACAGCGCAGCGAAGATATCTTAAGGCAATATTAGAAGAAAGAAAGAATGGATGTAAAAGAGGAGTATGTTTTATTTTTATTTTGTTTGTTTATGATTTGTTTTGTTTATATTCATCACTGAGATTTTTAACTTAAATAACTGTTCAACTTCTTCTTTTTCACTTATTAATAGGAATCCGTTATTAACTTTCTTGTTAATTTAGCTGTCATCGTTATCATAATTATTTTTATTGTGGGTAATAAAAAGTCAAAGAATGAAATATCTGAAATGATTTCATATATTATTACATATTTCATTCAATAATAATGGTTCCATATTGTGAGGAGGGCTTTAATAAAAAAAATTTTTATTTGTTCATTTTATGTATCAATATCATCTGTGCTTTTGCCTTATGACAAGTTTAATGGTGTATTTTAACATTGAGCAAAACTTCAGCTATAACTTTAGTTGGCCTGGGAATATTATTTTCAGATTGAATCTTAAAAATGTATGTTATGTAAATTAGCAAAAACTTTTTTACTCATAGAATAAATGAATATCATTTCTACAAAAATTTCATTTATTTCTTCTATGTATTTGATCTAATTTCAATCCTCCGTCTTTAAAATTAAACTGTAAATACATAACTAAACTAAAATATTTCCTATAAAATATAATAAAGAAATTTTTTTAATGTTTAATCAAGTTTTTGACAAGTCTCTTAATAAACAAATATGGGCATCATTTATTAGCGATATACTTCATAAAACTAAGTTTGTCAACAAAATGCTCATATGAATCTCCCTAATATTGAGATAAAGATGCGATCCCAACTTAAAAATATTTGGTAAAGGAACAGAAACTTTTCATCATCAAGCCATCTTTTCGCCATTACTTTCTTACTGGAATTTGTTGACCCTTTGCCAAGTTCTTTTACTGCAGGATGTTCTATACATTCTGGTTATATAGAAACCGCTTGCTTGGCAAGTTTCTTGCTAATTGAGATTTGAGGTCTAATTCTTTAGCGGTTATTTTTCCTTCTAATGTATAGTCCACTATGCTAAGTTTCTCTAATCGCTTAACTTCAGTTTTTCCATTCCACGCACCATTTAGACTATAGCGATTTAATATCTCGGATCGGAAAGTTCTTTGTAATAGATGGTAGAAGAGTATTTATATAACTAAAAGTATTTTCAATCAAAAAATATTTGAATAATAATTAATTATTCAATATTTTACACCATCCACTTGAGTTGAGCGGTATATCACCCAGCTTCTCTGCTAGTACTTCCAATAGGAAATCCAATCCACGTCTTTTGGCTTCTATCTGACTATCAGAGTTTTAATCCACGGATGAATTAATGTTTACAGTTTACTATCTTTGTGTGTAAAACTTTATTACTGAGTCATCCCCTTGTTCCAAAGACTCAAATAAAAACTTTTGTATGTGATGTAAATTCTTAAGTGTTTCATTAAAAAGTTTCTTAATTCCAAATTGGACTACATGTTTTTTAACAAACCATTAACAATTATTTTATATTCATCTATGGATATACCTTGCATTGGTGGTGGTCCCTTGTCACAATAACAAATGAGTTATCAGTTACATTATTTTTAAACCATGAACCAATATCATAACAATACGTGTTTAGGAGAATCAATAAGAAAAGAATTAGTAACTTTTAATTGTTTCCATTTACAGTTTCAAGCTAAGATTGAAATATCTATTTCACAAACTACTTCAATCTTACCAATAAGATCATTTATTCCCATACCAGAATTATCAATTTTCAGATTTAATTCACCAGCATCACATGCACTTATAATATCAAAACCAATGTAGATTATAGTTTAACGGTACTTTCTCAATTTCATTGTGGTTCTATATTTAACTGTTAATAATATATTTATATTCCACATATTAATAAATAATAATTCAACATTTAAAATGACTAAAGTTAATATCAAGTCTATCATAAATTAAAAAATTGGAATTGGGACTCAAGAGATTGAAGATTCACTGATTATATTAGATAAAGACACTTGTGCATAACTCTGCTGATAGAGTAGTACCTAGTATTATTAGGTAAAAAAATTCGGATTTCTCGTAAATTAAAACTTAAGATTTAACAGAATATCATTACTTGATAGCAAACCCAGTTGCTGCCATGCCAAGAGGAGTTCAAAGTGTCCAGAAAGACTAGGAAGATTAATCTAATGATTCCTCATCTGGATCTGAGTCTGAATCTTCTAGTGATTATGAAAATGAGATAGTGTGCATATCACCAAAGTAGGCAAGGGTGATTAATAACTGTATAGATCAATAATATCATCTATCCCTTTTGTTTAGACTTAGGTGCTGAAATAATTAGTTTATCATTCACTATCATAGCCAGCACATTCTTTTTTGTTTCTGGGAACCAAACTTCGATATCTTTGTTGACAAGAATCGAATTATCACCGTGAACTCTTGATACATAATTGCACCTATTTTTCTTAAGTGATATGAGTAATTGCCATAAGGAGTTAAGAATTGATTGATATTTAACTTTTATTTTTGACATTGTTAAATCACACCAATGATAGTCAAATAAAAATAAGGCACATAATTTAATACAGTAATTTTCAACCAATCCAATAAAATAAAACATTATTGTAGTTGTAACTATAGATTACACCTTAATTATTTTGTATTTGTCAAAAATATAATTGCTAAAAATAATTTCTTTTGCAATAATCATTTTTGGCAGCTGTGATTATTTTTTTCACAATTATTGCCATTTTCATCATCTAAAAGTCCATTTTATAAAAAATTGACAAGGATCTAGAGAGATTATTTAATAAGTTGTAATCAAATTCAGATAATTATAATGGACGAAAGTGATAATGAAATAGATGATAATTTTACTGGGAGATAATTAAATAAATAAAGAGGATAATGAAATGGATGAAGAAAATAATAGAAATATAAATAATTTCTTTAACTTCTGTTAATGAGTGGAAGATTTTAGTATATCAAATTCAAATTGATTAGAAATGACAGAAGATGAATCACAAGGTCAAAATAATGATCTTACTAATACTTATTAATAATTTGCAACATCCAGCTGTTGATAAAATGGATGTTAAACCATTTTTTATAGAAAATTTAGAAACACCAAGTAATTTTTAAAGATTTTATTATGACAAATTTTAAATAATAAATATAATAAATATAAATTTTAATTTTAATTTTGTGTTTCATAAATTTATGATCAAAATTATTTTTTAATATGATAAATATTGGGATTGCAAACACTGCATGACGCTGATACATAAATTATTCAAGTTAAAATCTCAGTGGTGAATATAAACACAATAAAATAAAACATACACTTTTTAATGTTGTTTCTTTTTTTCATCTAATATAACCTTAAGATAAGCAATTTTATCTTCGTTGTTGTTAATAAGATTGAAATACATAAGCCCCAGAAGAGATAGATTGTTATAAATCTTTTGTAATTCTTCTGGTGAAACAGGAGCTGCATTTGCATCTGATATTGCCTTAATCTCATTAAGAAAAGTTAATTTATCTTTATTGCTCTTGATACAATTGTAACAAGTAAGCAACATTTGGGTGGTCTTCTATAGTTCTTTCGATAAAACAAAAGATACATCATGTGTAGTTGTTGCAAGAGGCTTCTCTAATTGTATGATAGCTGAAATGATAGACTTACTAAATCAAAAAAATTGTATATTTCCTAGATCTTATAATCCATACTTACTTGACATTAGAGGTGCAAACTTATGATGAAGTCATGACATTATTCCAAGTCACAGCATTAGACGTAGTGTGACGTATCTTTTTACTTAATAAACAATTGATGTAAGTTGTAATGTCGTATTGATGTCATAAATAACAATTTCTTGCTGTTGATATTATGGAATTAGTTCAGCTTAAACCTCTAATAAACCTGTTCGAAATATTTAAAAATACTATATTTAAAATTTATGCAGATTGATTAAATAATTATGAATTAATTAATTTTGAATAACGCTTATTCTGCTTATTCTTTAGTCAATTTGCGTAAATTTTTAAATATAAGTACTAAATAAGGTTTAGAAGGTGATTCACAGGATCGAGATAGTTAATGAATATTTTGATAATTATAATAGTCGCGACACTACTAAAGTCACGACACATGACTATAGTTACGACACACGATCGATACACAACACACTACATCGTGGTGTAATGACGTCCTAGCACCCCTATATTTGACATATCTGAGGTTAATGTTAAGAAAATAATGATATGACTAAGCCAGTTATAGAACTATAGTAAAATTATCTCTAAGATTTCCATCATCATAATTGAAAACCATGGTTTCGGAACAATACATTTAGATAGATGGATTGATGGACCAAGTAAAGAATGGGATACCAGAAATTAACAATGGAAAAGATATTAAAAAAGTTTATGATTTCATAAAATATTTTAATTAATCTGCAAAATACGTTTACCAAGTTATAATAAATAAAAAGAAACATACATTATTTAGATGTCAATTCACTTAAAATGTGATTATGCTTCAATTCAATATTTTGGAATTACACAAGAAATATATGATGGTTATAGAATACTCCAAAGATGAAGATAATTTAAAAATGATTTATATAATATTAATTGGAAAACGAAATTAGATAATTTAAAAGAATTGTCTGGTACTTTAAAAAGAATTCATGAATTAGATAAAGTATGAGTTCTTTTCATATTTATTTATTACAGATTTTTGGATTAGGTAAATGAATAGGTCCAAATCTGATTTATCCTAAAAAAGAACAATTACCTTAAGTAGCTCCAGAAGTATTATCTGGTGAAGCGTATATTCGTTTGGAATTATAACTTACGAAATCATTACAGGGATTCCCCATATCAATATACTATATAATAAAGATTGGTAATGAAAATATGTAATGGATTACGACCAAAAATTTCATTTCATACTCCAAAATTAATTACAAGAATGATTATGAGATGATCGGATTTACGACCAACTTTTTTAGAATTGAGTGATGAATTACTATTTGGATTGTGACGAAAATGAGGGTTCTGAAATTGGAATTCAAATTAAAAAGGCTAAATAATTTTCTCCATCAACTAATACCACAACTCCTCTTGATTATAAACCCATCCACAGGCAATTTACTTCTCAATTTTTCGGTTTCCGAACCTAAAAATGATGAAAACATTGAAAAAGAAATTTTCTGATTTAAGTATAAATTCTATTTGCTGATTCTGGAGTATTTTATCGTGTAATTATGGGTTTTTCTTACAAATAAATTTTATTATTGTTTATTTTGTGCAAGTTTTTTTTTTTTAATTTTCAATTTAATAATAATTATAATTAATTTTCAAATTTTTAAATAACTCTTTTATCTTACTAGTAATTTCATTTTTTAAATATGACTTCATACATAAAATTCCTTCTATAAAAATTTCACATCAGAAGAACTAACATCACATACAATTGATGACGATAAAATAAAAATAAATACCTTTTTTGGAACTTAGGATCTTGGTAATGTGTTATTATTCGCACCCCCATAATTCCCTATAATTGTCACATAGCATCACACCGTGAGCAATATTTCAGATATACAGTGTACTAATTTATTATTTCTTTGCATGCAAATATTACGATCATACAATTTTTTTTAAAAAACACAGAAATATATGATGGTAATAGAATATGTCGAAGGTGGAAATCTTAGAGATTATTTAAAAAATAATTTTAATAATATTAATTAGACAACGAAATTATATTATTTAAGAGAATTATCTAGTAATTTTATAAATTAGATATAGAACACCAGGATTTTCATCCTGGGAATATTTTATCAAATAATTTTACATATGTTACAAATGAAAATGATTATGAACTGTATATTACAAATTTTGGATTAAGCAAATTAATAGGGTCAAATCCAATTAGTTTTGAAAAGAAGAATATTTTTGGGGGTATTACCTTATGTATCTCCAGAAGTATTATCTGGTGAAGAGTATACAAAGGCAGCTGATGTATATTCATTTGGAATTATAACTTACGAAATAATTACAGGGATTCCTCCATATTATGATATACTACATAATAAAGATTTAGCAATGAAAATATGTAATGGATTACGACCCAAAATTCAATTTCATATTCCAAAATTAATTACAAGAATGCTCGACCAACTTTTGTGGAATTGTATAATGAATCGTTTTATTACTGTTGGGATAATAAAAATAAGGATTCTGGAATTGTAATTCAAATTAAAAAGCAGAAGAACTTTCTCCATCAACCAATACAATCACCACCACAACTCCACTTGATTATAAAACATATCCACAAGCAATTTATACCAGTCGACTTCTCAATATTTCAAGTCTTCCAAAACCTAAAAATGATGAAAATTTTGAAAAAGAACTTGAAGAATTAACTAAATCTGTTTCTGATTTAAGTACTAGTAAGTATAAATTCTATTTTTATTGTATTTAAATTTAAATTTATAATATTAATTTATTCATTTTTTATTTTAGCTGATTCCAGAGTGATCGATTTGGATATATCTAATTTTTAAAATTTAAAATCTTTATTTATTTTTTTATAAAAATAAATTCTGACATTAATTCAAGTCTTAATGCTAGACATAGAGTCGTAATCAAGGTGAAATATTAATATTTATATTCAATTTATTTTATTATTTATTTTATACTTTAAATAACGTTATGTAAATCTTATTATAGTTAAAAGTACTAACTAAATAATTCAATAATGAATTATTTATTAATTTAATTTTGATTTATCAAATATTGTCTCGATGAATAATAAATAAAAAAATAATAAAAAAATGTTAAGATCAATATGGTATAATGAAATCTACAATAATAATATTTATTGGATTAAAATACACAATAAAGTATCAATTAAATACATATATTCATCCCACTCCCGTAACAAGCGTCATAAACACCTCCACAATTAATAATAATACATGAGAATACACTAAAACCACCCGGGCATGTGCCAAAATAAAGAATAAAAAAATATTTTTAAAAAAAATTATTAAAAATATTAAAAACATTAAAAAATGATAAATGTGGAGTAAAATATTATGTAATGAATAATTTGAAGAATTAATGCTCTATATCAAATACGAAAAATATAAAAAAAAATGAGTTAAAAAATTAATAAAATTAATGGTGATTCTTATATAACACATAAAATCGTTAATTTTGATTTTTTTTTTTTTTTTGATCCATCTGCGCTGCAGAATCCATTATAATAATTTAATAATGATCCCTATGATATTGATCCAACGTATTCTTAAAAAGATCTCCATCATTTCGACCATCTCTTAATACGATTTCACTATCATCCTCCCAATCTAATTTTCGAGATCTTTGGTAACGAAGTAAAGCAACAACTATACCTCCTATAAGAACTAAACTACCCACCACTGCTGCAGCAATTACTATTGTCTTGGTGGTTTTTCCTGGACCTTCATCAGGTTTATTTGTTTGAGTAGAAGTTGATTTAGTTTTGGATGTGAGGGAGGAGGTTGTTGGTAGTGGTGGAATTATAGATGTACTTGTTACAGTAATAATGGGTGTTGATCTAATTGTTCTAGTTGAAATAGATTGTGAAGGTGATGATGCTGTTGTAGTTTGATCATCGTTATTAGATGTTTGAGTTGGAGTATTATCTTCGGTAGTACTATCGGCGGGAGTTGTTGGAATAGGTTGTGAAGATTCGCTTGTTGTGGATTGAGTATTAGTAGATCTTGATGTTGTTGTTGCTCTTGAAGTCGTTCCACCAGTTCCAGATTGCGCAAGTGAAATACTAATAAATAAGGCACACAGTATAAAAACAATTGACAACTTCATAACGTATCGTAAAATGAAATATATTTTTTTTTTTTAATGTTTTAAATTGTATGTACTGTGTATATGAGTAAAAGAAAAAAAAATAGAAAAATAATTCGTTATTAAAAATATTCTTGTAGAATTACTTAACAAAAAATATAAATAATTTATATAAAATAAAAAATATAAAAGCAATTAATTATCAAAAAATAATTTATATATAAAATGAATTATCAAAAATGAATTATGTTTTTGAAAAAAAATAATAATAATAATAATACCTCGACTAGAAAAAAAAATATAACAAATTTTACCTACATACGAATATTATAACTCACAAATACCAAAATGCACTATAAACATACCTTTAGAAACCCTTGATATATAGAAAGAATAAAAATTCAAGATTGCAAACCACACACCCAAATGAATTATTATTTAGAAGGAAGGAAAAAAAAAAAAGCATGAATAATTGGTACTATATATATTTATTTGCAATTCCAAACCAAATAAGGCTTTTTGGAACAAAAAAAATTAAATTAGTTATTTTGTAATTTAAATAGTTTGGAGATTAGGTCTAAAAAAGAGAAAGTTTGTGTCACTTTCTAACGTTTATATGTGTGCACGCGTGCTACGTGTTACGTTGTAAAAATATTTAAGTCGTATTGATATTGGGAAAAAAATTTTTAGTATTATTTCCAATAAAATCAAGATTTGCGGTAATTAATTATATTTAAATCAAAGCTAAACAATGATGGTAAGAGACAAGGATAAAAATAAATAATTCTATACTAAAGAGGTTTTATTGAAATATAAATCGATAGAATTTGTTTTCACTTATTAATTTTCTCTCGTAAAAATTAATCCAGGGGGAATTTATATAGTTTAATATAATTCAACAATGTCAACAACTGTTCAATATTAACAAAAAAAAAGATGATGAAATCTTTTTACTTTATATTATATTCATTCAGAGGATTAATTATGATTATAACAATGAAAATTATATTTGATATTTTTCAAAGGAAAATGAAAAATATCATTATATATAAATGTAAAACCAAATATAGTCATGTGAAAATAGAAATAAAACTATTTTTAACCAAGATGTGAAACCAGTATGTAACCCAAATTTTATAATAAAAATGATTGTGTAATGAGATAAAATCTTGTAATTCAAATTTGCGTACGTGTAATGAGATAAAATCTTGTAATTCAAATTTGCGTACGTGTAATCATATCATATACTGATACAAATTTTTTTTTTCTTAAAAAAAAAAAAAAAAACTTTTACTTTACACATTATAATGAATAAAAAATTTCATTTAAAATATTTAATCGAAAATGTACTTTCTTTTACTATTATTAGCCAGAGAAAATGTTGCAAACCACGTAAATCAAATATCAAACCATTTTGATAGTAAAAACGACAATAAAATCATACTAAATACAAATAAGTCTAATTGATATATTACATTGGGATTGATAATATTGATCTCATCTCAATTCAAAATGGAAATCAACAATGGCCAATGTGATTAAATCAGGTAAAGTATTTTTAATTAAGATTCAATTTGTTTAAATTATATATATATATAAGTAATCCAAATTGGAAATATTTTTATAAGCGATTTTCATATGAGCTTCTTTATGTGATGTGACAATAAATTCACATTAAGATAATATTTAATTCATAATTTTTTTTTGTTCTGGAAAGATAGATTGCCAAGAATAAAAAAAAAGAGAGGTTTAATAAAACTTGATAAAATAAATTGTATTATAACAATCTAGTCCAAAAAGAGATAACTTATCAAAAAATTTTAAATGCATTTTTTTTTGTTTATTGTTATTTTTTTCACATTATTAATTAAATGAATCGAAATAATATACTATTTCACGATTTTAAAAATTGAGATGAGAGTAATCAAATTTTTTTTTTATAAAAAGGCTTCCTTCTTAAATTCAAATCTGTTATTGTTATTACATAAAATATTAAAACAAAAACCAAAAATAAAAAAAGGTATCTAAGTTAGAATCACAAATTTTTAATTTTTTTTGAAATTTAAACTATACAACGATTGCAGATCAGTAATATTCTCGAAGGATCGCTCATATACTCTTTGTACGTATTTTTAATAATTTATTATGGCATAAAAATCCGAATAAAGCTAGAATATTTAACATGCAAATAAAATGAATAATAATTACAAATTGGTCATTTCTTTTTCATGTAATGATTAAAGTATGATGAAAAAAAATTATAACAATTCAAAATGTATTTCTCTTTTGAAACAATTCAAACCTTTGTGGTGGGATTCATAATTATCTATGCTATTCTTTGGATTAAGAAGCCAAGATTGAGTAAAGTAAGGGAGTTTTTTTTTTTTTTCTCTGTATTTTAAATAATTTTCTTTAATTTTGACAACTCTTCTTTTTCCATTCAGAATGAACCTCCGATGGTTCCTTATAAAATCCCAATAATTGGTCATACAATTGATTTTATTTTTAATGCCAACACGTTTTTTTCTGAATGCAGAAAACATGTAAATTATTTAAAATTATTAAAATAATTCATTATTAATAAAACCAATAAAGTATACTCGTATAATCGAGGGTTTTTTTTTAAAAAAAAAAATAAAAAAATAAAAAAAAATAGTACGGTGATACTTTCAATCTATACGTATTAGGTCAGGTGATTACTATAGCTGGAAACGAAGCTTCTTATGAAATTTTTAACGCCAGTGATTCCTTTGATTTGAATGAAGCTATAAAAGATGTAAACAAAAAAGATTTATTTATCTTATTTTAATTAACATTAAAATGTATATTTTAAATTATATCGTTTGTTTATTATAAATATTTTAGGTTTTACCTATGCGTCATGTTTTACCGACAATAAATGGATTTGGTGACGTACAGCATATGGCCAAAATGATACGTGAAGAAATTACTGGAAAATTATCTTTATATACAGGAAGAATTCAAGAACAACTTTTGATTGCTATAAATAAGGAAATTGGAGATTGTTCTAGTAAGTCATTTTTTTTATGGTATATTTTTCGAGAAGATTACTTTAGTAATAATAATTGTTATTATATGTTATTATTTTTACTAGATCCTAAAGTTATTATTAGTGATCCGAAATTTTTTTCAAGAATTATTGCTCGTCCGATGGCTAATATTATAGTTGGAGAGGTAAAAAAAAATTATAATATTAGATATCTTATAATCTCTTATAATTTCTTTAATAATCTTAACTTTAATTATTTCAAAGGAAATATCAAAACATGAGGATGTGATCAATTCTTTTGCCAATGTATCCAAAGAATTTTCAAAGTTTCTTGTAATACCTCCGTTTCTCTCATTTATTCATCCAAAAATACATCAACAAGTTGTTACCTTACCAATTCGACTTGGTTGGAATCCTATCAGAAAACATATTAATACTTTAAAGAAATATTTGAAACCTGTATTAGAGAAAAGATTAATAGATAAAGAAATCCTTGGCGATAAGTATAAACCACCTGTAAGCATTAAAAAAAACAATTAAACATTATTCAACATTTATTAATTTCATTTCACTTTAATAATAGTTAGACGTAATTGAATATTATTTGAATGAACCTGAATATGGGACAACAGTTACAGTTATTACTGATGATTACTTAAATTACACCTGTGAAGTTTTAATCCACCTTATTTTTATCTCCATTCACTCTACTACTCGTCACATTTCTAGTGCTCTTCATGGTATGAAAAAATTCTCTCTCTCTCTAGTATTTTATATTATTTTTTTTTTTATAAATCAATTTATTTATATTTATATTTTTACATATAATAGATTTGGCAGGAAGACCAGAATTATGGGATGATCTTTATGAGGAACAAGTAAAAATTGATAAGGAATGCAATGGAATGTTAACAATTGTACATATTGACAGAATGGTGAAATTAGATAGTTTCATGAGAGAATCTTTAAGGACTTTTGGTGAAGTTGGTCTGTAATTTTTTTTTTTTTTTATAAACAGTAAATATTAAAAATACTAATATTTTTGTTAAATAGCTGGCCTTATGCACAGATGCATTGAAGATTCGTATACATTTAAAAATAACACAACAATTCCTAAAGGTTTTATCAATTTAGAAATACTTATAATTTATTGTCTTCGTTTAATATTATTAAAAAAAAAATTTTTTTTTTTTGAATATTTAACAGATCGTATAGCCTACATTTATTTTGATGACAGTCATTATAATGAAGTATATGGACCAGAACCAAGGTCATTCCTTCCTTATTATGGTTTAAACAATAAAAAACCTGCAACAAAAATCAATAAAAATTACCTTGTATTTGGCGCAGGAAAACATGCTTGTCCTGGAAGGTTTGAATCTTTAAATTTGTTGTTTCTATTTATTATTTTTAAAATTTTCAAAAACTAAACTTTCCTTATATTTTATAAACAGATTTTTTGTTATTAATGAAATTAAAATTTTGATGCATAAATTAATTTTGAATTATCATATTAAGACGGAAAGTGGAAAGTTAGATGAAAAAAAATTTGCTGGACCATTTGTTTTACCATTGAATACTGGAATAGTTTTTGAGAACAGGAAAAAATAAATAATAAATAATAATAATAAATAATAAAATAACATGAAACTTCTAACAGTATCAATTAAATTATACGTAATCATTGATATATCATTTTTTTTTCAAATCCAACGGAGTCATGATCATTGTAAACTTCTATTAATTAATTAGAAAGTGATTAAATTATCATAAATAAATAAAAAATTCCTATAAACTATTAAATTATTAATCCAATTAAATTAGAATTCGGTAATTAACTTTAATTAGTTGTTAATTATTCACAACACACATCTCAAAAAATATTTCGCAATGTAATTTTACTATTATTTGTTTACGATATCCTGCTGCTTTTACTTTTTTAACCGAATCTGCGGCACAAAACCTCAATCGTTTTAAATATATTAAAAAATATTAAATATAAAAATATATATTAGATATATTATACAAGGAATATGGTCAAGAAAAATACCCTCTTAAAATGATCGGCTGTATATGTATAATATAATTTAATTGGGTTTCGGAAATTAATTTAGTACGTTGTAATTATACTCTTTTATTAAATTCGCATTTATAATAAAATTTAGGATTATGGATTAGGGGTTAGGGTCAAGGATTGGTCAAGATTAGGGTTGGTTACATTAGGATTTCTACTTTAGTTTTTTTTTATACAATATTCTTATGATTCCTGTAATAATCGAACAATTTGATTGATAATCGTACTAAGTGATTTCTATACATATATCATTTTCATTTGAAAAAATTTGCACGCATTTATCTGGAAAAAACATCTTTGGGTTTCAAAAAAATGTAAATGTTAACCCATTTGAGACTAACAATTGCAAAATAAAATTCTCAAGTATAATATATCTTTTTTGTTAAAGATCGCGATAAATAAATCTTATGCTCATATCTATTCTATTATTCATAATTGGAATCGGAAAATTATAATTCTCCTTTATCTACATTGATTAATTTGATTTAAAATACTTATCTGGTGTGATGATTAAATAATCTTATTTTTAATACATCAGTGCTTACTTAAATTTACTGATGACAATCTATCAATTGGAAATGGTATCACAAGTAATCCCACCCTCAGTAAATTTTATGTTAAAATTGACAAGAAACAGGGAATTCAAAACATGTAGGTAAGTTATTCTATTTATTATATGCTTTTAATTTAAATACTGAATATCTCTCTGTTTATATACATATACTGGTATATTTAGTACAAAGAATATTATTTCAGTAAGATTGTTAACGTGAATGTAATATATATAAAATAAAATGTTCTACTATAAATTTCATAAAATAATTTTTTAATTTTTTAACTTTTTCAAAAGATCAATAGACTCAGTATTTGAAATGAACTGATATTTTCAACTAAAGAAGGCGCTCAATAATATGAAAATCTTAACTCAACTAAAAAACATCAAACCGAATTATCTAAAATTTATTCCTGTTAACGTTTATCAAATGAAATTGAAATCATCAATTAAAACTTTCTCCAAATATTGAATAACCAAAAGATGAAGTATAGTAGTTCTTTAAACGAAATGATGACTTCTATTAGTTCAAAACCTCTTACCAAAAAGTTTTTTAACGATTTAAGGAAAAACGTGAGAAAATATTGGTCGGTAACATATCTAACTTGATATCATTCTAAGAAAATGATATCCATATGATTAATATATAGAAATTAAAAATTTGTATAAGTATATATTAACATTATTTAAATTTCTTAAAGGGTTAATTTTGCTATTTTACAACTTAGATTAATTATTTTTGATTTATCCTTTTTGTCAGTAATAATCGTAAAAACCATTAAAGCACTTTATATTCCAAGGTTAATTTATCTTGTTTTGTTGATTTTGTAAAATAAAAATTTGGTAAAATACTGTATATAATTAATTAAAAATTTTTTTTTTATTAAAAACATATCATATTCTTTGCATTACCAATCAGTTTCGACATTATTTGGGTACTTTTTATATTATTAAGATTGAAAACACATCTTCTAAATTCCTTTAATAGGTTACTCAACATAGAACATTCACAATCTTATCAGGTGCTGACATTGAAGTATGGTTGGATTCACATCATTTTTTTCAAGCCCTATTGATATAAAAATCTTTTAAGACACAAGTGTTGTTATATGACATTTTATGCTCACTCCCTTCTCGCCTTTGCTTGACAATAAATATTATTGATCAGTTATACCAAGCAATAAATATGATAAGTTGCAAACATGGGTCTTTTAAATATGACAGTGCCAAGATGATTTAAGAAGTCTTCAACCACTTCATACATAAAATTCCTTCTATAAAAATCTCATATTGGAAGAACTAACATCACATACAATTGATGATGTTAACAAAGAAAAAACTAAAATTTCTGGTGAAAATAGATAAAAAAACAAATTCAAGAATACTTCGATAAAATAATATTTTTTAAAAATAAATATCAGCATTATTGATATTAGAAATACTAGTAAAAAAATCCTCTTGGCCTCTTGGTAATGTGTTATTATTTTATTTATTTGTCATCTTTAGATAATTAAATGAGAAATATGCATGCAAAAAATAATATATTAAAAAACATCTTATATATATATAAACGTAATTACAAATTTCAATTTTATAAAAAAAAAAGAATTTTTTTAAAAAAAAAATGAAATTATGCCCTGAATGCAATCAAGAATATACTAGCTGGAAATGGTGCCATCCATCCATGTAACTCCAAACATTTCAAAAATGATTTTGATAAATGGACGACACAATAGATAAATTAATTCAAGATACTCAATTAAATGCTATAAAGTAATAGAATGGATACCTTATTATAAATTAGAATATATTAAACAAATAGCAAAAGGTGGTTTTGGAACAATACATTTGGCTAGTTGGATTGACGGAGAAATTATCAATTAGTGGTATTAAAAAAGTTTGATAATTTTACTAGTTTTAAATGATGATTTATTAAATGAGGTAAATTATTTTAATTAATCTACAAATTCGGGCGTCAAATTATATAATAAACTAATTGTGCAATATGCTAAAGATGGAAATCTTAGAGATTATAATTTTAATAATATTAATTGGAAAAATAAATTATATTATTTAAAAAAATTAGCGGATAATTTTAGCAATATTCATGAATTAGATATAGTATACCAGGATTTTCATCCTGTGAATATTTTATCACATAATTTTACGGATTCCTTCCATTTATTTGTTTACAAATTTTGGATTAAGTAAATTAATAGGGTCAAATCCAATCAATCCTGAAAAGAACATTTTTGGAGTATTACCTTATGTAACTCCAAAAGTATTATCTGGTGAAGAATATACAAAGACAGCTGATGTATATTCATTTGGAATTATAACTTGCGAAATAATTACGGGGATTCCTCCATATCATGATATACCACATAATAAAGATTTAGCAATAAAAATATGTAATGGATTACGACCAAAAATTCCATTTCATATTCCAAAATTAAATACAAGAATGATTTTGAGATGTTGGGATGCTCGGGTTACTCATCGACCAACTTTTGTAGAATTGAGTGTCAAGTTTAATCAATACTATAGAGATTATTATTATAAGAATTCTGAAATTACAATTCAAATTAAAAAAGCAGAAGAATTTTCTCCATCAATCAATACGACCACCGCCACAACTCCACTCGATTACAAAAACATACACAAGAAATTTATACTAGTCGACTTAATTTTTTCAAGTCTTCCAAAACCTAAAAATGATAAAATTTCGAAAAGAACTTGAAAAATTAACTAAATCTGTTTCTGATTTAAGTATTAGTAAGTATAAATTCTATTTTTATATTTTAGATTTAAATTTATAATATTAAATTATTTATTTTTTATTTTAGCTGGTTCCGGAGTGATCGATATGTAGATTAGTTTATAATTAAATTTTTAAATAAAATCTGGATTAATTATAATTAGAATAATGATGTTTAGAAAGTATTTGACTCATGAAATGAATAATTCTAAGAATGCATTTTACTTTTTGTTATAACTTTTGTTGGACAAAAGTAGCGAAAATGCCTTGGTGGTAAGAAGAAAAACTAATCTCAAACCTTATTAAATATGTTACGCCATTGGTATCATAAGTTATTACGGTTTACAATAAAGACATTATGTCTCAGTATCCTAATATTTCTACACGTATTGCCAAGTTGATTACCAAAGAATTTGAAAATCAAAATTTTTTTGATTAAAATACAAGACAAAACAAAAAGGATAGACAGTAGGGAAAAGTTTTTATTCTAGAAATACCACTTATTTATTATTAATCTCCCAGTCCAAAAATATTTTGAGAAATGTGCAAAGTTAAATTAGATCTAAACATTGATAATATTTTATAACCGTGAGAGACGCGTTTATTAATGGTTATAAAAGAGATAATCAAATGTTATCACATTGATTCACGAATTTTAGCAATGGTATTATCATTTTATCTTACATTTAACGCAAAACTGTTCAATCGATGGAAAAGAAAATTAGTTGTTTTACTTAGAAACGATTTATCTAATTAAAATGATATTAAACAATATCAAACCAATTTAATATTTCAAAAGATTAAAATATGAACCATAGAGTCGGTCTTGGCATTTACAATTTCTTTTGATATTTTATTTAACTTTTACTACTTTACTTGAACAAGTATTTTCGGTGAGGTGGCAATTCGCCTTTGCTTGCCCACACCAAACCACAAGCATTGCAAAGTGTCTTATAAGAAATAATTAAAAAAAAAAAATTAGTATTTTTAATTGAAAAAAAGGTTTAGAAGAAAAAAAAAAATACCTTGCTTCCATTAGGCCCTCTCCTCACCAAGGGCGTGGTGCGTCCATCAATACCACAATGCAAACAGCACCAAATATTCAATTCCTCAGCTGTTGATTTCAATTCATTTCGGATTCTTTGTTTTATCAAATGATCGTTTGAAGTCATAGGTCTTGATTTTATTCTTGTACTATTACGTGCATTTTCTCTACGCATTCGTCTGCATTATTATTATAATTTTTTAAAAAATTAGGGATATTATTTATTGAAGATGTTTATTGGTTCAATTTAATTAAATATTTACCTTATATCTCGTTCTTGATCTAACCTAATCTTTTCTAACTCTTCGTTAGTCAATATTTCTAATACAGGACACCATTCTTCAACATCTTCAAAAGAACGAAAAATGGATTTCAATGGTTCCTGTTCATCATCTGAATCATCAGGTTTTATTTCCTTCTTGTATTTCAATAATTGTTCATGAATGCTATGAGAAATCACTGTAACAAATTCACCACCAATTCCAAGGTCAGATACAAGAATCTTACTAAACTCTTCAGGTGTTAAATCAGAGCTTAGATCCCATTCAAATTGATCACGAAGTTTTAATTTTCCAACATGAATATCAAGCTATTAAATATAAATAAGAAGATTAGCAATCATAATTAATTAATTAATTATGTGAATAATATTAATGATTGAACTTACATTAATCGTGACTCGAGAATCTTCAGAAGGTAAATAATATTCCATTATTAAATAATGTTCTTGAATCTGCTTTCGTATTGAGTCAGCAATAGGTGTCGAAAATTCCTCAATTGAAATATCAATATCATGACATAATATTTCAGCAAAATGTTCGGGCGTGATTAATTTTTCTTGAAAATTATTATAAGTATGTATATATAAATTTAATATTCAGAAATTACATAATTAACGTAAATAACATAAATGACATAAATGACATAAATAACATTCAATATTAATTCACCATTAAGATTCCATGTAAATGTATCGCGTAATTTATAAGCACCCAAATCAATATCAAGTCGTATTGGAATCAAAATCTCATCATGTTCTGAATTACAATCTATTTCTTTCTGAGAACTATTATACAAAAAGATCAATCAAAACTTATTTTCATAAATTAATAAAGAATAATAAGGTATATTCTTACTAATAAAGATGTTTGGTTTTAGTTATTTGTTGCTTTACGATAGGACTTTCTCCATTCGTAATACCAAACCCTAATGCTATTCTTTTTTCCAATGGAGGAGAACCTCTATCCTCATCTTCATAAAGTTCAATGAAATCATCAGAATCATCAGCATCTATTATTTGACTTACTCCTCTTTGACGTCTCTTCCTTCCTTTAAGTACAACAGGTAAAATAAGAGCAGTATTTCCTTGTTTAAGACGACTAGCATATGTACTATGATATATAAGTTTGCTAGACTTTATTGACCTGGATTGCTGTGCCACAACTTCGGTTGCTTTAAGAATGTATTAAAATAACTTTATACAGTTTTTTCACTTTAATAACGCAAGAACATTAAGAAGAAAACATTTTTAAAAAAAGTATTTGTTTATACCATGTCGCGTGTACCTTCGAATCGTCGTGGAATTAGAATAAGGCGCATAAGTGGATTTACTCTGAGAAGCGTAATAAGACGTCCCGTATTGTGAAGGCGCGAGGGTTTTTCGATGATATGTATTCATTTGAAAGTTTGAGGTTGCACCTCGTGTAGAAATATTATAATTTCTCATTAAAAACTAACGCGGACGGATAAATCAAAGATGCACCGAAAATCATGCATTATTTAAATTTGTGTAGCAAGGAAACATATGACTTTCTCTCGGTTACAATTTTACGAAAGACAAAAACTTAAACTTTTTAACGAATCGAAATTAGCGGTTATTTCACTTTTTCACATAGTAAACGAGTTATTTAACTACATTTAAATAGAATAAACTTTAGAACTTGAAACTCTGTCTAGTACATTTTCACTTAAAAATGTCGACCAAAATGAACAATAATAAAATTAAAGTATGTATTTTTGAAATTATGTTGCAAAAACATATGAAGCAACTATACTAATAACAAATTTTCAAATATGTAGTACTTACTGGAGGCCCTAGAGCAGAAAAAGGGAGAAATTTCGATGCCAAAAAACCAATTGCAATTATTACTTTCAGACATAGAGGCAGTAGGATCGAAATGGGTTAGCATTTTTTTTTGCACAAAAGTTCTTTATAATAGATAAAAACTAAAAACTAAAACTAAAATTATATTTCTAGAAAGATGCAAATCGAGTTGGACAAGCTCAATTATATGAGGCGGCGGAATTCGTTCTCAATACCTTAAGAGGATACACTGTAAATATCATTATGTAGATTTTTAATCTTTTATTATTAAATTCAAATACGATTTTATTTTTAAATTATAATAGCCATATTGCGATCCTTTCCAGAAAAAAGTCGTACAAAAGGAAGCACCTGATTATTATAAGAGTATGCTAATTTCTTCTAATTTCTTCTCATGTAATTAATCCTTTAACTAATTCTTATTATTTAATTAGTAATCGAGCATCCTATGGATTTTACACAAATAGCTAAAAAATTGAAAATGCACGAATATAACAACAAACAAGAATTTGCTGATGACTTGTATTTAATATATTCCAACTGTCTAAAATACAATTCAAATCCGGTATATTATAAGAAAAAAAATGATCTTCTGTTCCAAATTTTATGAATATTCAAAAATAATTAATTATTATTTATTATATTAGGATCACATTTTTCGAGAATACGCAAGAGCGATGAAAGAAAAAACAGATGAACTTCTTGTAAATGTTCGAGATATTACTATCAAATCACGTGAAGAATTTTTGGCTAGTGTTGATCAGGAGCAAGAAGATGAACAAAAAATAAATCCATCAATCACCGAAAATCAACCAGTAACGGAAAATCAACAAATCGCAGATAGTTTGGTTCTTAATGATGAGGCACAAGAAGAAAATCCACAAGGTTTCCTTTTTTTTACTATTCAGAAAACACCAAAATGGATATTCCAAATAATAATAAAAATGATTTTTTAGATTTAGATGATATTAACGTACCTGTACCCGAAGAAGAACAGATTGTAAATGATTCAATAATAATAAACGAATCAGATGATGATGAGGAAGAAGCCGAAATTGATAGAGAGCTACAAGAGATACTCTCCAACTTTGATATGCCAAAATATCCCGACCGGTGGGATCCTGAAATAAATAATCCTGATAGAGATAAATTTTTTGAACCTGGATATGATCCAAGGTATTTTATCATTAAGAGTTTTTTTTTTTTTTGAAGATTACTCTTGGAATTAACATAATACACATTTATTTTTCATAATATATAGTGCCAACAATTCAACACTGGATCAATACCCACAATTACAATTTCCAAAACGCGGTACCGCATTAATGATCGAAAACAATATTCAAACATTAAAACGATCAAGAATATTGCACTCAAAACTAATGGCTGCAAGGCAAAACATTCCTGTATAAAAATTATTTTAATAGTTTGATTTTATATTAGATAATTTTTATATTGGGTATTAATTCAAATATTTAAATATTTCTTATTTTTTTATTTAGTTAAGTCATCTCGGCATAACGGAAACAGCTCCTGAAGAACAAATAACTAACACAAAACCCAATATCGATCCCAGGAATTTACCACCATTAATGTTAAATAGTGAAGGAGCTTTTGAAAGTACAAAACGAGTTGTGGCAAAATTATGTCAACATGCGGGATTTGAAGGTAACTAAATATAACTGACGAGAATTCTTTAGTTTGAAATGTTAATAGTAATGTTATTTATTTCATTTCATTTCTATAGCAACTTCACATACAGCTTTGACTATTTTAACCGAAGTTGCCCAAGATTATTTCTTAAATCTCGGAAAAACTCTGAGAACCTATATTGATGATTACGGAAAGAAAATGACACCTGAAGTAAAGAAATTATTATTTATATTAAGATATTAAATTTTGTTATCTGTGTTTCCGTTCTTAATAAAAATCTATTGATTTTTTATGCAGGAAATTGTTACACACACATTATATGAAAATGGGGTCACTTCAATAAATAAAATAGAATCATATGTTAAAAATGACATTATTCGATATGGTTCTAAGTTAAGAGATATCCATAATCGCTTAGAGACAACATATAAAGAGGCATTAGCAGTATGTTTATTATAACTCTTTTTTCTGATTTTTATCTTTAATCCACACAATAATTCTTTTTTTTTTTTTTTGAAAAATCAAGAGCCCGGAAAACCATGAAACAGAAGAGGAGTCCTTCCCCGATACTGAGGATGCATTTATGATGTAAGTATATTATAAATTATTCTATAATATTGTTAAATATTTGAGACCTTGTGATTCATTAAATTTAATTCATAGGGGAAATTTTGGCGAAGATCTTGGAGACGATTTCTTTGGATTCAGGGAATTAGGATTGGGTTCGCTAGTAGTTAGTATATTTCCTTGCAATTTTGTGATTTTATACATTATATGTATATATATATATTCACTAATTTTATCATATGATTAGATACCGCAAAGATTATTTTTGGGAACTAACAAGCCAAAACCACAAATTAAGAAAACCAATGAGGAAACGCGTAAAAGTAATAATTTAATTAATGGATTGATTGTTTTACATATAAATTTTAATTTTAATGATTTTATGCTAATTAAATTTGATTTTATTTCATTATAGAATCCCGTTATGAACCACCTCCTCCATGGGAACCAATTACTGATCCAGATAGTCAAATTGGTTTACTTAGAGATTTCTTCCGTAATAATATGGAGGAATCAGGTGGTAAATTAATTGAAGATGAATTTCTTCCTGTTAAACAACGTAATCAACGACCCAAAGTTCCCCCTACTGGTAAAATACCGCCACAATCTAAAAGACTGCTTAAACCTCAGCTTACAGCTGCTGCACTAGCGGAGAAAAAGCGAAAACGAGAAAGAGATGCACAGATCGCAGAAGAAAAAGAACGAGCTAAACGATTAAAGGCAGAAGAACGCGCCAAAAAACAAGCAGAAAAAGAAGAGGCTAAGAGGTTAAAACAATTAGAAAGGGAAGCACAAAAGAAAGCTGAAATGGAAGCTAAAGAAGCACGTAAAGCTGAACAAGAGCTTCAGAAAAGGCTGGCCCAGGAAGCAAAAGAAGCAAGAAAAGCAGAAGCAGAGGCTGCTAAAAAGGCAGCTATGGAAAATAAGAAGAGGAAAACGTCTACCAAAACTGGAAAGTCTAAAACGCCTCAAGCGGAAATTAGTTCTACTCCTGTATCAAGAAAGCATGAACCTGATGACGGAAGTGATAGTGAGATGGTTCCATTAGCTCAAAGGAAAAAACGCCGTGCTGAATCATCGGGTCGGACGGGTAATAAAAGGCCTACAAATTAAATGTTAATATTTAGTTTCTAATAACAAAATCTAATAATTAATAACAAAAGCAATTGTTTATTCTGAAAACTATACTTCTTATGACGGACTGTAAATAAAATAAATAAAATTGCAAATTCGTATTTATTTCAAATCACGTGTCTATACACCAATTTTTGTGTTTGCATTGCCATAAAATACTCTGGCATATGTCCTATCGGAATTATTATTTTTTTAAATTTGCATTTTTTCCCAAATTTGTTATACACAACGCATTTACGCATTACCATGTGACCTGTATCACTGCATATTATTGTTATTAACATATGGGCGGATTTATTTGATTTTTTAATGGATAAAAAAAGAAATTGATAGACGTTTTACAATAATAATTTTCTTTTTTTAGATTTTTAGATTTTTAGATTTCGCAATCAAACATATGAATAAAAATATCAACCAATCATGTGTTTTCATTTTATAATATATAAAATATCAATATAAAGATAAAGTAATAGTAAAGTGATAAAAAGTTTTAATACATTCAGGAGTCATGTATATATTGAATAAACTTCATGAAATTTTCAGGGGACCGAATATATTTTTGAATATTAGGTTCAATTAAGGAAAAATGGCAAATCATGTGATTTTGTTTATAGTAATCCTTCAATAAAGACTTTAACATCTTTTTTGCTTATAATTTTTCGCGTACTGGATATTTTTATAATTTTATTTTACCTGTTAAGGTGATTCCGATTTTATGTGATCATGTGTGACGCCGAGCCCGTTAAATATGCATGAACCTCCCGATAAATTAGATCTAATAAGGAAGACCTGGAAAATAATTTTTAATTTCATTAATACAATGATAGGTCCTTCTCGTTTTACAAATTCATTCTTTCATTTGTTCCATTCTGCGCTGGATTTATAAATAAGATTCATAAGCTATTCATTTTATTTTATTTTATTTTTGAAAAAATAGAATCGACTATAATATTATTCTACTAAAATAATGGCCCCATATCTACCACCAGAATGTCTTCATAATATTTTTATAAACGCTCAAGATGACAAAAAAACACTTTATTCTTCCCTTTTTGTCAGTAGAGATTGGTGCGCAAGTGTAGTTCCGATTCTGTGGAAAAAGCCATTTAATCTTGCGGCATTGACGTCACGCTCATCTTCTGATGATCTATATGGTGGTTATGTCATTCGAACGTATATATCTTGTCTACAAGAGTCAGATAAAGAGCTCCTTCGTTTTCAGTACGACGACCTATTACCTTCATTCGATTATCCGTCTTTTATAAGAGAATTGGATTTTGAAGAACTTTATTATGAGATATCTAAATGGATATCTACGAATTTTATCACGAAAAATATAGACAAAAAGATTTCAAACATATCTGACAATTTTGATCAAAGAAAATTTACTCTAAACAAAATTATTTTGAAATTAATCTTTGAGAAATGTCCTGCATTCGATTATTTGTATTTAGATGTTGGAAGATTATCAAATAACTTTATCAATATTTTGATTGAATTATGTGAACAATTCAAACCTATTTGTTTACAAAGATTGAGTTTCTTGGATTATCGTGGAGTTGCAAATCCTTATAATACTACAAAGCCTGAAAATGATATTTTAAATTCATTATCTAAAATTTGTAAGGAAATTACGTGTATGAAGATAAGGTCTTTTTCTGCTCCTACTAGTGATTCTATAATCTCATTAATTCAAGGTCAAAGAAATTTACAAAAAATCTATTTATGGGAATGCAATCTTTATGATATGTCAGAAGTTATGAATGCATTTGCAAGTCAAGCTAAAAATTTAAAAGAAGTTAATATATTTCATTGTTCCTTCGAATATTGTGAGCCGTTGCATGGATTAGCCAAATGTCAAAATTTAATAAAACTTTCCATCAGGCAATGTGATCATGTTACTTCAGCTCTTTTACATCCTATCGCACTCGTCATTTATCCACACATTAAACAATTGGAACTTTATGATTTCAATCCATCTCTAACGTTTATGAATGATGAAGACATTCCAACGGAACAAGTTCAAGCAATTATAATGAATTGTACTAAAAGTATTCGACATCTTATTACTAATCTCAATCATGATCAATATTTTGGAATTATTGAAACTATTGCGACAAATTGTATTTATTTAACAACCTTGGAATTAAATTTACAAAGAGAAGAACAAATTCCAAAATTTTCACCTATATTAAAGTCTTGTAAAAAGTTAAAGAAATTGACAATTCATCCTTTAGGATTTGTTTCTAATTTTATTCGAGTATCTGAAAACAGCATTCAATTGTTTGTGCCGAATTTATCAACAGAAATCATTTATTTAGATATAAAAAGTTGGATTCTTAGTGTTAAATCATTGGATATTCTTTTAAATCATCTTGGGCCTAATTTAAAATTCATTTCTTGGGGATTTGCTGACATTAGCCCTTCTGTAATTAGTAAAGAAATATGGTTTTCTGGTATAATTAGTAACTACATCACGAAACATTCAAAAAATATCAAAAGATTTGGTGCCTTTGATTTTTATTCTCATGATGGATTCAATGATGGAAGAGTCTTTCTTAATTTTTGGTAAAAAATCCGCGGAAAATGGTATCAAATTATGTATACATTAATAAATCATAATATAATAGAAAAACAAAACCAGAAAAGAAAAACAAAACTAGATGTGGGTTATTTTGAAATGGCGTAAATTTTTTTTGTTCTCCATTTGCTTTGAAAAAGAATTTATAAATAATGTATAATATAATTTATTGTATATCTTGTCTTGTATCTTAAAAAGTTTTATTTTAATTTACAAATAAAAAAAAAAATCAAATTTGGAAACATGCATGAAGACGAAATGCATAATTTATTTGAGACACGTTCACACGTACGTAAAAGCGGTAAATTGTCCGAATCGACGCCAGAACTTGAGATCGACCATATTAATTTAACACAGCAGAAGGACGAAATATGAAGACAACGTGTATACACCGTACTGAAGTATTCATTTTTGTCAATGTGGTTTTGAATTTTCTGTAGAACAATCCAAGTTTCCACACATAGTATCTCATTATTAAATTAATTTCGTTATTTGTTTTATTTATTTCATTATTTAATTATTTTAGTAAATTTTCTCATTGAAAAATGACGGAAACAGATAAAGAATGAGAATGATTAAGTAAAATATTATGCACACATAAAATTAAATTATTAATCCGTTTTTTTCAATTCTTATGCTTGCTTATGAAATAATAAATTAAATGATTATTCATCAAATTTTATACCAAAACGAGAATTTGACCTACCACCATGCGAGAAAAACCAACTCTCAGCGAAAAACAAAACTGATCCATGAAGTTATTTAGTCACACAATCCAATAAAAAAAGTATTTTTTTGATGTCAGCTGCTGAGGTAAGCAGCTTATTAATGTTTACTTTTTTTTTCAATTGGTTATCTAAGAATTTAAATTATTTAAATTTTAATTATAAAATCATGATTATTGTATAAATGCGGTATGAAAACTTTCTAATGTCACATGAACTTTCTCACAGAAAAAAAAAAATTATTTCATCTTAAGTGAAAATGACTTTATTTGTTCAATATATTGTTAGAAAAGAAATTTAAACGAATCGTCACTTATAATTATTCTTATCCTTTTTATATTATAATGATTAATAATTTCAATTGATAAGAATATTAGAACCGTAAATTCGAAGAAGTTTTTGATTCGCTTTAAATAAAACGAAAGGTTTACTTTCTTTGCAGATCATCTATAGACTTTTTTTCCCCTTTTTCTATTTTCTCAGAGATAATACTAGATATATATCTATGTCCATTCAAAATTACACGTCATTCGAAATATTTGTTGATTTGTGGCGAATTATCTATTCATTCAATGCGCCTCTAAACAATTGCCCATTATTCTTATATTCGTGGCATATTATAGAATTTACGCGTCGAAAATGTCAGTATTCAAGTTCAATGTGATGCGTAAAAATTTATTATTATTATTGAGGCTTTGGGTAAATAAATATTAAGGAAAGGGAAGCATTATTTACATATGTAAGTTCGAAATTTATTGCCTTTTGTCAGCCCAACAACGCCTTTCTTCGCACAGCCACCTATTGGCTCATTTAAAAATCATTTCTTTGGCGAAAATATAAAACTTTCCAAAATAAAATATATGAAAGAGAGAAAATTAACTGCGCCAATTTTTAATCGTTTTGTTATTAATAATATCAAATGATTTTTTATAATGGAAAAGTATTTTTACTCGCATTGCAATTTGCGTTAACATTGACAACAGCATTTCCGTTAACCAACACTACTACCGTAAAACCAGTACAGGATAAAACAATATGTATCTTTCGTTGATAACTTATATATTATTACTGAATATGTTTAATTATTTAATAAAATTTATTAAATCACGAAATTATAAACTATTACAGCAACAGATTTCAAAAAATTATACAGTTCACCATTATCAGTATCAACCAATTCAGAATGTTTAACTGCAACTATGCATACTAAATACTCTTCGGAAGAATATCTCACTACAGCAGAACATCCTACAAAAGATACTTCGGAATACTCTACGACTAAATATACTAAATATTCTTCGGCAGAATATCCCACCACAGCAGAAAATCCTACAAAAGATACTTCGGAATACCCTACGACTAAATATACTAAATATTCTTCGGCAGAATATCCCACCACAGCAGAAAATCCTACAATGGATACTTCGGAATACTCTACGACTAAATATTCTACGGCAGAACATCCCACAATGAGTACTTCGGAATCTACGACTAAATATTCTACGGCAGAGCATCTCACAATGAATACTTCTGAATATTCTACGCCTATGAATACTAAATATTCTACGACAGAACATTTTACAATTGTAAATACTAACCATTCTACAATAGAACATCCCGCAACGAATACTTCCAAATATTCTACAATAGCAAATACTACGACGGCTAATTCGAAATATTCTACGACAGAACATTTTACAATTGTAAATACTAACCATTCTACAACAGAACATCCCGCAACGAATACTTCCGAATATTCTACAATAGCAAATACTACGACGGCTAATTCCAAATATTCCACGACAAAATATCACGCAACGAATACTTCCGAATATTCTACAATAGGGAATACTGCAACGACTAATTCCACGAAGAAAGAATATCCCTCGACGAATATTTCTACAATAGCAAATACTACGACGACTAATTCCAAATATTCCACGACAAAATATCCTGCAACGAATACAATAGTGAATAATGTAACAACTAATTCCACGAAGACACAATATCCCGCAATGAATACTTCCGAATATTCTACAATAACAGCAAACTCTGCAACGGCTACTTCCAAATATTCTACAATGAACAGTATAACTACACGTATATTTTTTATAAATTATATTTCTACTGAAATTTGTTCGACAAAATTTCATTAACATTATAATCATTATACATTTATACCAATTTATTAGATTCTCTACAAGATACAAGAGGAGATTTTTTGGTTTATTCCACTAATTCCGGATCGCCAACTGCTAGTTCTTCTAATTTCTCAAGTGAATCAAACCAAAACCAAAATTCAATATCACAAGTTGTCATTGGAATTATTGTTGGTGCCCTCGGTATAATTCTTTGCGCAGTAGCATTCTTTTTTTATACTCAAAGAAAGAAAGGTGACGGAAACGGAAGTGGACGTCAAGTATACCCTGATACTGGAGCATATGGTAAACATACAGGAACCATAGAAGGTGGGGAAGAAGAAAAACTTCAAACAACCGGAACAACTGGAACAACTCAAATACTTCAAACAACCGGAACAACTGGAACAAGAACAACTGGAACAACCGGAGCGACTGGAATAAGAACAACTGGAACAACCGGAGCGACTGGAATAAGAACAACTGGAACAACTGGAGAAACTGGAGAAGATAATGTAATATATGAAACAGTATATGAAACAGTTGGAGATAATGGAAGAACTGGAGAAACCATAATATTTGAAACAGTCGGAGATAATAGAACTGGAGAAACAACAAGATATGAAACAGTTGGAGATAATGGAAGAACTGGAGATACTATAATAAGATATCAAACTGTTGGAGAAACTGGAAGACCAGAAGAAGGTATCTCCATCACGTCATTTGGTGACGTCCAACGACTAGATCCTACAGTGTTTGATAATGGTGGTGGTGCGCAAGAAATTCTTGGAACTTCTAGACTTCCTTCGCATGAATCTGAACTCGATCGAAACCAAGGGCAAAACTTCCCATCATAAAAATCTGTAAATATTAATTTTGTTTCCAGAATCTTTCGATTTCTATTTTTCTAATCTGTTGCAAATTTAAATTGTCTCATTTATTGTATATATTTTGTAGCATGTTATGTAATAACGTTTTTTTTATTTTATAATAATTATTTTTATTATTATTGAAGTTTTGTATACTATAAATAGTGTCTTGATAAAGCAATGAAGAATGTTATAAGTTATCTTCTATATTTTATTATCATAAATAACATTTGTTTGAAAAACAAAATGGATATATCAATACTTATTTTTTTTTTATCAAGGATTGATCACCAGCTATAAATAAATAATATTTAACTTATCTTTCCCTTGATGATCTTTGTATCTCAGATAACCAAAAAGCACATCTTGCACATCCTTACATATAGGTTGAATACATTAGAAGTCGGAAGGATTGGATTTTTTTTCATAATTAGAGCACCTATGAGAACAATTTATGTGCACAAATTATAATAAATGGTAATTTCATTCAACGGTTTGCCATTTTATCTATATCTATAGTGTTTTTACAAAATTAATTTTAAAGAAAATAAAACCAGAAAAAAAAAAGCATTTTCACAGCCACGCATTAAGGAATCGATTTGTTTTATTTCATAAATTATTATAAAAATAATCCAAGTTTCTAAACCAGAAACGATCATGTGATTTAATATATTAATAGAAGAATGCTTTTTTTTTAAACTGTGGTGAGGTGGTGTAAAAGAAGAATATCCGTTTAATATCATTGTTACCAGTATTAATCTAAAATCTTTGATTAAAAGAATCTGCGATTATGAGTTTTTTTTTATTGTGTCTACCTAAATAGGGATTATTACTATACACAGCCTCACAATATGGGGATTCAGATTTACACAGCCTTTTCTCAAATATTTAAAGAGAATTCGTATTGTATATATATAGAAATATACTATTAATGATGTTCAATTTAGTAATAATTTAAATAACAAAACCCTGATTACCTCTATAGAAATTCTATAGAAAGATGTAATTACTAAAAATTGCCTTTGCACGTAATGTCAGTTTAACTTCTTTTATAAGTATTTTTTTCTTTTATAAATATGTTTCTTCTTCTAATGTTTTCAAAAAATAAAAGATAAATAACATTTTTTTTGATACTTTTGTTAATAATAAAATCAAAATTTATTTAAATGGGCAAAAAAATTTTTTTTTTAGGATTCGCCATTATACTAACTATTCTTGTGGTTGCGGTTGTTATTTACACTTTTATAATAAAACGTAGAAGAAGAAGAAAAGTGGATACTTATGATCCTAATGATATTTATAAGGGTACAGGAATTATTGCAACAAAGAGCAGCAAAGATAAAAGAACTTCAGTTTTCATTAGATCAATACCTTCACAAACAACTCAAATTAAAAAAACAGAAAGTAGTAATAGTTCTTTAACTGAAAGTTATTCATCTATACCTATAACTGTTTCTAAGCCACCGACACCACCACCACCAATACCGAAGAGACCTCAAGTAGTAGTTGTTAATAATCCACCAGGTACTACTCGATTTTCTCTTCAGTAATTTAGTGATTTCTTTCATAAAAAAACAGAAACAAAAATTGATATTTGATAATATTACATTTTGAAAGTACTTCAACCACATGCATCTTCTCAAAATTTAGAAGAGACAATTCAATATTCATATTCACCAGATGTTCAGTATTCACCACCAGATATTCGACGTTCACATTCACCAGAAAATCAACGTTCACATTCACATTCACCCGATATTCAACGTCGTGATGGTATTAGTACACCTCCTATACAAAGAAGTTCTCGAAGGGATTCATTAGAACAAATTAACTCACCTTATCGTAGTTCAATGGATCAATCTACACTTCAAGAAGAACATCGTCATCACTCTTTCCCCACGCTTCCTCAATTTTCGAGTTCTAGAGAACCTTCACCAATAAGTCGTACTCCCCGTATACGTCATCCTCCTTCAAGAGATGTATATCCTGAACCAAGATTTTCAACTTCAATTGAATCATATCTTGAACCTGAAGTTTCAAGTAGTAACACACGAGGTAGAAGTGTTGATAGAGAATTCTCATCTCGATCAATTAATCGAGGAGGAGACGAAATAGGAGATTATGATCTACCACCGCTTCCAAGACGTTCATACCCTCCTTCATCAAGTAATTCTCCATCACCACCTCCAACGCCGCCAAGACCATCAAGAAATGAGAGTTCTCCCGGTCAACAACCTTTAAATAGGGTTATTGTTGGACGAAATAGACGTCGTGGACGCGGTAATAGTACTGGTAGTAGTACACCTAATTAAAATTCAACCGACTTATTAATTAATATAAATAACAAATATATATAATATTTAAACCGAATAAAATTATTTCAATGCAATGAATCACGCTTTTTTTTCGCCAGATCGGCGATGACTTATATATATGATAATAAATTAATTTTTTATGATACATTAATGAACCTATTTCATGCAATAAGAAAAAAAAACAGAATGGTTTGATCATAAAATATAATAATAAATAAATAGTTTTTGTCTTGTACAAAACAGAAAGGTTGAAAGTGGCTTGTTATTTTTTTTAAGCCTTGAAATTTGAACCGAGCCACAAAAAACGACATTATTAACAAAAACTATTCGATTAGTTTTATATAATTTTTTTTTTCTACGTGGGATCGAAAACTTCAAAAATGACAAATATGGTTGGCTTAGAAAAAAATAAACATGTCGAACATGTCAAATTGTTTCGTTTTTATTTATATACACATAATTCATTAAAAAATAAATAATAAAATTTACAAAATTGAATTATTTTGTGTATGATCGATCAATTTCAACGTAATCGCGTGGAGCATCTCGAAGCTTGTCAAGTGGAGCGGTGGCCAAACCAACTAAAATAAAATAAAATATTTAAAATAAAATATTTTTAAAAACATTAATAAATTAATAAAAAAAAAATTTATTATTAATAAATACCGGCAATTTCCATGGGAGGCTTTTTAATATTGCATTAAATAATGAAATTTTACGAGTTAAATAAAAATTTAATTGAGAAATAAAAACAAAAAAAATATTAAATTTATTAACCTTATCAGGTGCAGATGGATGAGGACTTTAAAAAGGAAATTCGAAGGAAAATTCAGAATTCATTTTTATGATAAATGTAAAAAAGAAATTAAATATACAAATATATTTACCGAGTTGGAACGGTGGAACGAGTAATTATAAATTTGCGTCCTAATTCTTTACGTTTATTTTCATGGATTTCATTCGCAAGTCCTGGAAAAATTTCATTTTCTTCTTCACGAGCATGTTTGTCAAATGTCTAATTGAAAAAAAAAGGAAATTTATAGAGAAAATGATGATAGAAGTGATAAAAATAGAAAATAAATAACAATCCAAGGTTATGATTTATTTGTTTAGTTATTTACCAACCTTCATAATTTTTTTGAATAATTCATTATATCCTATATCGGAAACTTTTATTTCATCTAACTTGGAAAGATCTTTCTTTATTTCAAGATGCTCTTCCCTTGAATGATCAGCAAGATTTTCTCCATCATGTAAAATTTTAAGTTCGGGATAAACGATAATCTCTTCAGTATGGGAATGAATAGCGACTACAGTATTATTATTTTTTAAAATTTTTTTAATTTAAAATTTAATATTTAATTTAATAAATATATGTATATATAAATACAAACTTTCACGAATAACAGTATTAGCTATTTTCTGTTTTTCATGATTATCCATTTCTTTATCAAATCTTTCTCCCAAATGTCTAATAATACTATGATCTTCTCTAGCACATGTAATGACATCAATTTGTCTCATTGGTGGATCTGTAGCAAAAGAAGAAGCAGTAGCGACATCTTTGTAATTACGACGATGACGAATGATGGATGATGAAAAAATTGGGAAAGAAGAACGACGATAAAAGATTGAGGAAAGTGAAGTTCTTAACATGATTTTTAATTGAGAAAATTTCAATCGAAACTCTGACTTTAAATAAATAAAATAAATAGCTTAATATGAAGTGAGCCAAACAATTATTTTTAACGTTACGTAAAAATGACATATAGAAAGAAATAAAAATAAATTATAAATAATAAAAGTAGCTAAATTGATTAAGCTACTAACTGCAAATATAAGATCTCGTTACTACCTCTTCATTATAATAAATATATCAAAAAAAGTAATTACCTGTCAATCACAAATAATTTTTTTTTTTTTTAGTTTATAGTTATCCATGACGTAAATATTTAAGTGGTTTTTTGGATAATAAATATTGTGTTCGAAGGTTTTCAAAATTTGCCCAGTGTAATCTTTTTTTTGGCAGAATTTCTTGATCAAAAAAGGAAAAATATTGGGTTTGATTTTAAATATGGATTTCCCTCCAAAAAAAGATGTTCTTTTTTTTTTATCTCAGTTAAACAAAAATAAAAAACTAAAATGACCGAGTTTATTATTGTTCGATTGAAAATATTTTTGATATATACTTCATTATTAACCTAGATCAGGTGATCGGGTGACTCTGTTGTGTATCATTTAAGTATTAAAAAAACAAATAAATAAATTAATAAATTTATTTGTTCTAAAGTAGTGAAAGTAGTGAGTAGTAATGGTTCTGATGCTTTTTATTTTAATTTCATTTTCTTTAATCATAGTTTGATATCATTTTATTTCTACCCGATTTACTTCCTCTGTATGTTTCTCGTGTATTTTATTACCATTTTGATCATTCGTACTCAAGTCTAATGATAAAGATGCGAGCTTAGGAATCTTTGGGTCATTAGAAATTTTTGATGCATCAGATTCCATTTTCTACTTCTCGACATATTATTTGTTGGTCAGAATCGACTTAGCTATTTCAGTTGATTATTGAGATAATGATGTTTCTTTCTTTTCCCAAGCGTACGCAGACTTTGAACTGAATGATGGTGGCAAATCAGATTTTAACTATTTAATAATTCATTAAACAGAGATAACGACCCTGTTACGTACACAGAGGATCCTGGATGATTTTTGTAGTAATTGGAAGATGATTTTCAGTTGCAAAAATGATATAATTTAAATAATATCGATCCAGATGTCTTTTCATCAATTATTCTTTAACTGTTAAATCCAAAGTAACTTGTTGTCATTTACATCAGATTGATTAGGTATAACTCCTGTCATTACAGGTGATTTCAGTAAATCCTCTTCCTCAAGATTCAATAATATATTTCTGATTTGAGTACCTGTAAATTAATAAAATATTAATTATATATATAAATATAGAAACTAAATATCACAACTCTCTTGATAATATCATGCATGTTTTTTTTACCGTTATTATTTTCACCTTTGTATCATCGGCATTTATCTCTGTAACATAAAATCACCCTTGTATGCTTATAATTTCACCCTTTTCAAAATGATTCATATACTCACCTTTTGAAATATCTTTGAGATAAAAGCAGTTATATGAAGAAAAATGTTTTTACTCTGAGATTTAGAAAAAACAATTTCCATGGCATTGATGACAAAATTATTTTTTCTTGAACCTTGTTACGTTGATCGATGTAACATATAGGACTTAAATTACAAGGCACCCTCTTTTTTTTACAAAATAAAAAAACGAACTGGACTTCTATTTATAATGACTATTTTTTTTTGATTTCATATGAACTAAAAACTTCAATAACAAATCCTTTTATACTATTGTCGATGTTAAATAACTAACAATAGATAAAAAAATTATATATAATATATTAATAATAACACTAAAATCATTAAAAATTAAATAATCGAAAATTAAAAATATATTTTTAATAAATAACTACTAAAAATATTACGTAATATATTAATACAAAATTAAAAAAAAAAAAAAAAAAAAAAAAAAAGATATTTATTAGTACCTTCTGTTAAAAAAAACCTTTTTTTCCTCTTCCTCTTCCCCTATCTCTATCTCTACAACAACAAATACATACAACTGATTGAAATTAATTAATAACAGTAAATATCAATAATATATAAACATACAGATATACGTAAATAAGTAAATATAATGAAATTTAATAAATGATAAATAAAAAACCGAAAACGCAGTCGTACCACTAATCAAATAAAGAGACTACAAAATCTAATATACTTTAAATGTCACTGGAATATACATGTCGTAGTACATAGTGTAATCTGTTATTTAAAGTTACGAAAAATTTAATCAAATTAAATACGCATAGATAATAGAAAATTCTACAATGCAACATCTTTAACAAAAAAATTTTTTTTACAATAAAGTCTAGTCCCCCCTTTATGCTGCACCCTGATTTTATTCACATTTAACTTCTCTGTCGCAAAAGTATCGTTTGATAGATCTATGGTTATTGTTTTTTGATATACCTATGGTTAATCATTTTTCAACTAATTATTCGATGTTCACATGATTTGTTATTCTGAAAATCACGCGACAGTGTATATTAGTTGCATGTGTAAAAAATCTATCAGCTTTTCAGTCTTTCAGAAACTGTTTAAATATCTCAAAAACTATTAAATACTAAGAAAAAATATATTTTTTAAAAAATATATTCATAAAACAATAAAACTACTTTTTAAATTGCAATAACTTATAAAAATTAACATGTGAGTGAATAATGAATAAAAATACTTCTTTTATATAAGGATGGCATACAACATAGCTTATGTAACCAATTTACGTGACTTCAGTTTTAGCATTGATCACTATATATAACCATAAGGTGTCACCCCATTAATTTAATCTATATATTTATATTTTATCATTATTAAGAGCAAAACAAGACATAAATTAAAAAAACGCGATGGACAAAACTAAAAAAAAAAAATAAGACACTTTAAAAAATACGTATATAATTTTTTTTTTTGATTTTTACTAGAGCCATTCAACCAACTTTTATTTGTTTGCCAATTTATGAAATTTGTCGAGAAAACCAATTTTTATCGCGTTTTTCTTTTTTGAGAATATCGTTTTATACTGATTTTCCTTTTTTTTTTTTTGTTAAAGAAAATCCTATTTAATGACCTATATATTTAAAGAATATTTGTGAATGAGCGTAAGGTATATAAATTAAAACCTGACTATAGTACTTCTAAAGGAGGGTTTTAATGCGTTTGTAACACGAAAGGAGTTTTTTTTTTTTTTTGAGATTAAGAATTTCAAGGGAAAAAATGGATTTAAATTAATATCCTTTCGATGGATTTTTTAAAAAGAATCGAGGAAATCTCTCTTTACATGAAAACAAAGCGAATACATTGAAGGAACGGAAAATAAAAACGAAAAATGTAATGTATTATACGAAGTAAGCATACTTTTTTATCTATATTTATGTGTGCGAAAACGGTGTGGTTTCTATGAAGTTTTAGGCGGCATAATATATAGAAAACGTTTACGAAAAAAAAGGAAGATACATATACGGAAAAATATTGTCCAGCAATATTAAATATTATTATATAAAAAAAGAAAAGGAGCATAATGAAAAAGATGAGAAATTAAATATTACGAGTAGAATAATATAATTCACATTACTTTAAAACAATTAATTGATGTTAAAGGGCTTTTAGGAATTGGAGGTCCATTATAAATATTGATAGGTGTTGGAAAATTGTTACGTGAGATTTTTTTTTGCGTGGTTCGAAAGCACTAATTTATTTTAATAAAAATTGTAAGAATCATAAAAATTATAAAAAAAAAATTTTATAAAATATTAAAATTAATTACGTGTTATATTCTTTCCAATGAGGATCATGAGATCTTTGAGAATGGTTCGATGGGTAATTGTCTTGCCACATCCGGAATGTGGACACACATAAGGCCTTTTTCTTTGTATGAGTTCTACGATGACGCGCCAATGACGTAGACTAATTAGACAAATTGTTAAAGTAATTAATAAATACAAACTATTTTGATTAATGATGATAATAATACTTACGTCGCTAAATGACTTATTACAGTTGAGATATTCACAAATATGTGGACTCTCACCTGTATGTGTGCGATAATGGACATTTAAAGCTGAACGCTGTGTAAATTGCTTTCCGCAACCGTTCCATTCGCATCTACACTCACTGGTAAAAAGTATAGAGACACCTGACAATTTTTAAAAATAAATCATTTTAGTTATTCTATATAAAACT